CTTGAGTTACTTATTTGAAAAAGTAACTCAGATATTCTCTTGTAAATTAAAAAGTAATGCGTTACTTTACTAGTTACTTGAAAAAAGTAATCTGATTACGTAACTCGTGTTACTTGTAATGCGTTACCCCCAACACTGTTGATTACAAACAAGAACAAGATTATATTGAATGACTATCTATTAGTTGTACATGTGTCTATAGGGCAAAGCCAGTCCAATTCAGAGCTCAAAACTGGAGAAGAAGTATCAAAACAACCGCCGTGGCTCAGTCAAGTTCACCGTCGACTCGACCCAGTATGAGATTAGCTTTAAAGGTTTGTTTTGTATTCTCCCACATCTGTTTCCTTTAAATACCTTTCCAAAAACAGGAAAGGTCACATTCATAAACGTGTTTGTGTTTCCAGAAATGCGTCAGAGAAATTTATCTACAGGCCGTAAGAGGCGGGTTAGACGCCGCCCTAAATATGAACCATCTCCAAATGGAGGGTAAATATGAAGAGTTTACTGAACTGATTCTTGTTTGCCTCTTTGCCTTATGAAAATCAAATCTAATTTAGGTTAATAAAAAGTGATATTCATATAATGCCCACTTTTCACCATTTAGTCAATTCTATATAAATAAGGAGACTTAGGTCTCCTTCTTAGTTTTTTTTTTTTATTGAATATTGTTTCATTCAAAAATGACACATTACAGAAGCAAAATTAGTTGTGAATGTCACATTTAGAAAATAAATAAATAAATAAAATATTTGCATTATTATTTAAAAGAAGTACACATAACCAACACTACTAACAGCGTATTGTGGTCACTGAACAGATTACGTGGAATAACCTCCCAATTAAAAAACATGCTCAGCCCTTCAACAAATAAAACTCCAGAGTGGCAGTTTAAAGGGAAAAATCAGTGGTACACCTTCAATAACACGGTAAAACATTTTTTCTTTTTTTTTAACAAATGCACAATGCTTTTTTGGACATGCTAATGAGGACTTTGAATGTATATTATTATTATGTGTATCAATTAATTTCAACAATTAATTTCAATTAATTAAACAGCTCTCTTGAGTAGTTGATTTTAATCTTATTTTATATAATGACTGTCAAACTGTACAATACATTTGATCATTGTTAATAGCAACATACCGGTGCTACTTTAGTGACTCTTATATCACCTCTGGTGGCTGTCTTTTTAAAACAGTACATTAGAAACAATAATTTGTTTAGTGACAGTAGTAAAATTATCCCCAAAAGGATTCAGCAGTATTTTTTTCTTTTTTTGCGAAGCTGGTTTAAGATGGTCTCCCAGCTGGACCAAGCAGGATTACAGTTTAAAGGGATAGTTCACCAAAAAAAAAGCTTGAGCATTGCAGCGTGCTTTAGAGTTCCTCTGAAACCCTCCACCTTCCCCAGCTCCACCTGTATAGATCTGCTACAGATTATTTTATATGCTATTTGTGCAGCATCAGTATGTTAAATAAATAAATATCTTAAATACTCACAGCACCATATCAGCTTATGTATTGGCTGTAGCAAGTTCTAGTACTTGCTTGCAGCAGCAGCAGCAATAATCTACAAATACAGCAATAATCAACAGCAGCAGCAGCATAGCAGATCTATTCCGCCAAGACCAAATACATTAACAGGACATTAAAAAAAACACATAAAAACACAACAAAATTACTAAAACTTTAAAATATAAATAAAAAATAGAAAAATATAAACAAATTTAAATATTAATAAAGATAATATTTATTCATTATAAATGTTAATATAATAGTATCTCAGTGATACTAAAATAACACTGGGACCAATCTGGTGTTTAGCTCCCAGCTGAAAAGTACCCAAAACCAGCCAACAGACCAGCCTGACCTGAATGGGAGACCAGCTAAGACCAGCAAACCCGTTTCGGCTGGTTTTACATGCTTCTTTCAGCTGAACAGTTAAAACAATTAAACATAAACAAGGAATAAGGAACTAAATATATTTAGCTAATTGTAGTAATTTGGCTTGCAGATTAACGATAATACATAATAAAAATATAATATAAAAGTAATATTATAATATTGTTAATAATATTGTATTGTTAATGCTTATGTTGTTGCTAGGCAGACTGTTTTTGATGTTTTAATGAGTGACGCTGTCTTTTGAAACGAGGGAGCAACAATTTATTTTGAGTTGAATTTGGAGTTGTTTAAGATAATCTACAATAAAAATAATTGTAACAAAATACAAATATTATATAAAAAATGGTATATATATATGGTATAAATTTTAACTCAAGTTTTTCATGACCATGTAATATTTGATAGCCGTGTAACAAGCGGGATATAGTGTACATTCAACCAGTAATTACTGCAATATAAAGCCCTTCAGGGACATACAATACCAGTCCTGATCACCTGTAAGGGTTTAGTTTGCAATAATTATGGACTGAATGTATATTATCCCTTAATTCATGACACTGACTACTGTATTTATGGCCACAGAGAGATTAAAATCACTGATCTTGATATTGTTTTTCAACAGGGTGGTTGTTCAGTCTCAAGTGCTGACATTGAGAGGTGTTACCAACAAAACCAAACAACCATGAATTTTACTGTGAGCGGGGACAGTTACACTCTGGATTTTGCAAGTATGTCAGCAAAAACATTTGAAGGATTGCAAAACTTATCGAATGTCTCCTTTTGTCTCTAATATAAGGTGCCACATGATCTTTGGGTTTTTCTTGAGTCAAACTTTAAAATGCATGATGAAAGTAATGATTTGAATATGATAAACGATGCTGTTTTCTCTCTTTCTTTTCATTCAGAGATGAGTCAAGTTAACCAGAAAACAAAGGCCGAACGCAAGGTCAGGCGTGTGTAAAAGTAAAAAGGGTGCTCAAGGTCTTGCAGAAGATGTTGGCTGATACTCACGATCCAAACAAGCAAATAAGAGTCGAATCTGCGGTGGAAGTAAACACAACGTTATTTAGTGATTTTGGCTGATATGATTGTGATTTTGAATGTTTTATCCGGAATTAGTGTATTATTTGGTAAACTGCCTGTGGAAAATAGAAATTCAAACTCTTTATTCAGGTATTTTGACCGATGTTAAGTTTATATGAATTATTTTAAATGCTGCTTCCCACATCAACTTGAAGACAAATATGAAACGTGCCTAAAGCAACCTGAAGCATATTTTTTGCTTTCTGTTTATCTTAAAGAATTCCATACTTTAAACTGCTATCAGTTTTGGTTATTCTATAATTACTCTTACTAACCAATGTGCCTGAACAATACAGGCATTATACTGCGTCATTTTGCTAGTATTTACTAAGTGCCTGTTGGTAACTGCCTGAGAACCAATGTTTACACACTGCTTGTGAAACTTTTTCCAGCTGATCAGTTTCATTTTCCATCTTTAGCATTTACATACTCACAGACGTGCTCAAAGGAGTAAAAGAAATCAAGGATAAACACACTGTGTGAATATTGAACAATGTGCAATACAATCTACAATATCATCCGATGCACGATGCAGCATATTTTTACATTACAATATGCAAAATGTACAATGAATCAATGTTGCATCAAATGATTAATTAGGACATTATGAACAATCATTTAGGTGAACCTGTTTTTACTGGGGGTTTTAATTACAAACTGAACTGTTTACTTGGGTAACAACATGCTATGCAAAGTGTCTGTAGTGTCATATGGATGCCTTCATATGCAATAATTGATGAAAATAAAATGATAAAATGATAAATGTGGCCTTATTTAACTAATACACATACAATATCTAATATTACTATTTATTTGACCAAATAACATGTTTCTATAGGGTATTTTAATGAATTCCAATCACATGATAATTTCTATCACATATCAAGTTATGTATTGTGTCTTAACAGCATTTGGTTTCAAAAATGTTTAAAATAAAACCGCAGACTCATTTGTCTTGGCTAAATTTGAGTATTTTATGTATATTATATACACAGGTAAATAATTACAACTTGATTGGAAACATTCCATTTACAAGTATTAACCTTGATTTTCTTTGTTTTATTTTTCCTCCGAAATATCTCATATTTCAAGCATGTTCTTCACTGCTTTGTTTCTGGTAAACAAGTATACTAAAAACATTATTGGGATTGCTGGAAATGACGTCACAACACAATACACACGAGAGCAAAATAAACACGGAATTTAACACAAGCACAACTTATAAAACTGCTTTAGGCACTGATTTTTTTTTTTTTTTATTGCCGCCAGCCACAACGCACAAAACATCCAGTTTGTTCACATTGCTCATTCGTAGTGAAGCTCGCTTTGGAAATCACGTGTCAAGAGGCTGAAAAGAAACCGAAACTGGGTCAGCAGTGCAGCTGTGGACTCTGGAGCACTTTAAATTCGGTCCTAGCAGACAATTCGACGATACGTTTATTTGACAAATTCATTTTTTAGGGTTTTAATGGGCTATGCTATCGATGTATTCCAGTGTCTATACAACTATATTCGGTAAGTAGACTAATCATTCATGTATTTTACATTAATAATTTCACGACCTTAGTTAACAACTCAAGCGTCCAGTAACAGCTCAAATGTTGGGTCATTCTACAAAACGGGTACGATTTGCTGCAATTTACTTTCTTACTCTCTCTCTGTTTACATATTTCGATTTTAAGTGACGTTTTATTTGAAAAGCTGAGCCCTTAGATTTAGCGGCAATCATGTAGGCTATTATATTTTCATTGTTAATGAATTATCCCTTTAGTGTTACTTGAAAATGGTTAATGGATGGTTACTTAATGGTTTCTTTCATGTTCGTGTAAATAAGTCAACCCAACCCCGTTACAGTCAACTCCGCGTTACTTTCTGTTTTTCACGGCGGTAAAGTTAGTTTGACGTTTGACATTCATTAGACATCCCGAACATTTTAGTATTGGTTTTATATTCTAATGTCACGTAGTTAAATTGTTTAATTAATTTAAATGGTTAATTTTTTTTTTTTAATTCCTAGAAATTAAGCCTTGTGCAACATAAAGGGCATATATTTATGTCTATCTGAGTTAGTTTGGGCTCAAAACATAAAAGCCGCAAAGAGTTTAATTGGCAAAAAACCCGAATGTCTAATGAATGTCAAACGTCAAACTAACTTTACCGCCGTCTGATTTTCCCAACATATTTTATTAAATTGTATTATTTTATCTTGAGGTGGAACAATGCAGTTTACTAGCTAATACTTAAACACGTTTTGTGATATAACGTTTAAAATCTTACAGTTAAAGTTAAAAGTTCAAATTAACTTTAGTCGAACTGGAAACAGGAAACGCTTCAGAGAACGGCAAAGTTCAATCGACATGTCATGCAAAGGATTGATGTCTCTTTGTGTAGAAGAAGTGTGAAGATGAATTTAAGCAAGAGGAGCTATGAAGTGTAAGAAACTATAGTCTGCCCCGACCCAGATTCTGCTACGCTGTAATAAACATCTTCATCGAGATCTTCAACATCCTCTTCATTTTTTCAAGTTATGACCCTAAATGTGATGACAGCTCTTATGCTTTAGGTAGGTGACACAATTATTCTACAGTAATTTACCTTTTTGAACCGTGTGACTGTAGATTGATCCAGTGTGTAATTTTTCACATAGCCTACTTTGCTGCAGTGTCAGGGGTAATGCATGAAAATGAACGAGAGTTAGTAATCAGATTACTTTTTTTCAAACAACTAGTAAAGTAATGCATTGCTTTTAAATTTACGACAAAATATCTGAGTTACTTTTTCAAATAAGTAACGCAAGTTACTTTGTTTTCCCATCCATTTGTTCATTGACACCCCTCCTGTCCCAGTGTTGAGAGAAATTGGGAGTGAGGTGCAAAGGCACTTCCTGAGGTTTATTAAAGGGGTCATATGATGCAATTTAAATTTTTCCTTTCTGAAAGGCGGGGCATAGAGGAGAAACAATAATGTACAGTATGTGGAAAATAATGTGTTTTTTGAACCTTAAACCGCATAAACACATTTCATTACACCAAATACACAAAATAATGTTCTTTTTAGCAACATCATATGACCCCTTTAATTTCACTTTTGGTGCGCAAGGGCCTTTAGGGTTGATGAAAATATGGGTTTCTTGTTATTAAAAAATATACAGTGAAATCAAAAATTCAGACACCATGATACCATTTTTGATATTTTTTTACTAGTGGGTGCAGGACACTATAGTTAATTTATGTAAGTGGGGATAGCAAAATAAAGTTAACTGTGATATATTATATCCAAAAAGTCTTCATACAGAGGACTACAAGTAAAACTGATAAAAATATGGGACCAAAAATTGTTTTTGGTCCCATGTTTTGCTCAAGTGTTATCTGACATTATCCAGATGAATTTGTTCCGACACAGTTTAACTATATAGTTATAGTTTTTAGTTCTTGTCATATTTTATTATAATTTTCTAAACTATAGCGAATAAACTGTTATAATGTGTGAAATGTTGAAAGTGTCTGGATAAATTTTGATTTGACTGTATAAGCAAGCCCAGCCCAGGTGACAAAAAGTAGCACAAAAGTAACAATGCATTACTTTCCATTAAAAATTAACTAGTAACTCAGTTACATTTTTATGGAGTAACGCAATATTGTAATGCATTACTTTTAAAAGTAACTTACCCCAACACTGTTTTGCTGAGACGTTAAGAGTAGTATTTATATAATATAACAATAAAAGTTTCAATGTTTATATTAAAATCTCACCTCAGGGAAACACTTCAGAGAGAGATAACAGCAAACAACATGGCAACAGGTACGTCTTTTGGCTTATTTATCATTTTATGTTGGTTTCGGTTTCTTTAGTAGGAGAAAAGAACATTCCCAAAGTTGTTTCCATGCTGAGTGATTGACTGATTGCTCATTTTTCATTGCATTCATTCATTCAGTCAGTCATTCATCCATTCATTTAAAGCCTCAGGTAATCACTTCGAGTGGCAGCTGTTTAATGGAAAGCAGTGGGTTTCGATCTTTAATGATTTTGTCATTGAGGCCCATTACTGTCAGCCAGGGGCAAATGGGATCACCATCAACCTCAACATGGGGTGAGTTGGTTCATTACAGATGTTATCTTATCAGTATTTTGATATTGAGTATCAAGTCTTATTATTATCATCATCACACACTACCAGGTAAATTATGAATAGATTATTAAATATTAAATTATGCCTTTTCCATTCACTGCACAGGCCTGCCTATATTGACTATGATGAAATGACAGTCGACGGACCTCTTGTTAACTTCAGTATACGGCGTAATACGCTGCTGTCCCAAAACCAGAAAGAAGTAATGGGCTGGTACTACAAAGATAACCATCGCTGGTGCGAATATGGATCTCAGGTAAGTGGTACTAGAAATCTCTCCATATATTTATTTGGAATAACGCAGCTGCAAGTTAAACCAACATACACTAAATATAACACACATATATAGCCTTTATTTAGCTTTCTCTCTAATTTCTGTAGGGATCGGGTGGGAAGTCATCCTTGATTAGAAGCGATTTTATAGAGCAGCAGTTCAACAGCAACCCAAGGGGCTCAGTTCAGTTTACTGTAGGAAGCATGACTTACATGGTGGACTTCACCGGTAAGTAGACAAACGAGGTTGACCTTCATGGCTACGACACAATATTTTAGTGTATTTCCCTTGAAATGAAAAGCCGCTAAACTTGCCTGTGTTTGAAATTGTTTTAATGTGTTTTTATTTTTTGGGGAATGTTGTAGCCATGACTCAAACCAATCTGTCCACACACATGTTGAGGAAAGTGAGACGGCGGCCGAAATTCAATGAAGTAGTAACAGACAACAGCAGTAATCAAAACAGGTATCGCTTTATTAGTTCTAGCTGTGACTTATTGCCTCTCGTTTGGCTTTGCTCATGAAACTGTATAATGAACTACTGTGTAAATTCATTCTTATGTAAATCATTGCATTAAAAACTATCATTTCCGTTAGAATGGGTTTGCAAAGTCTTATATCGTAACATTGTTTCCACTCTTCAGGAAGTCAACCTACAAATTGTTTTACACATTTGTGTGTGTGTGTGTGAAGCTATTCTTATATAAATTGTTAGCAGCATTTATGTACAAATGCTTTAACTTTTGTAGTGTCAAAGTATTTACACTCTTCAGGAAATCACCCTATAAATTTATAAATTGTTCGTAAAAACTTTGTAGTGTAAATTGAATGTGTAATTTAAGTAAGAATATTTTATGAAATTTTATAACGCAACAGCGTTCAGAAAGTCAGCCTACAAATATTATCCTTAAAACCATTTTTCGGAAAATTAAATGCATTTAAGAATTATTTAACAAATAGCATTGCAGTATTGATTCTCTTTAAGAACACAACCAATAAATTTATTGATAAATTGTTCATTAATTTTCATTTTTGGGTGAACTATCCCTTTAATAGTGAGAATTAGTCCCTATACTAAAGTGTTACCAAAAATGTTTTACGTAAATTAAACATTTTACAAAAATGTAGAAGATTTTACTAATTCTTAGTGGCACAGTGTTTACACTCTTCAAGAAGTCAACCTACAAAATTATATATTAATTCTTAGTAAAATTATCTCTAGATTTATTTACAATTATGCACAATGCGTTTAATCAACTGTTTGTTCTATTAACTATTTGTATGTTTTAATCAACTATTTATAGAGAAATCCCTTCATCTCATTTTTCATGAGGAATACCCAATATCTTTAAAATGGTATTTGTATCAAAAGCCTTTGATTTGCTTTTATGCAGTTCACAAACTCTGGCATCTCCCTCTGCAAACCCTACGAATTCTTCTTCTCAACACATCTGGGAGTTTATGGGTGATGAGGGCATTTGGACCGAGTACCAGAAACCAGTGAGTTCTAGTATCTATACGCAACCAAACAACACTGTAATCACATCCAAATCCACTTATTCAATCAAATGCTATTTTTAATGTGAACTTGACGTTTAACCTAACAGTTCATTGGACGTTTTGTGTGTCTACAGGGATGTTCATTGGATAGTGTGGAAATCGAGAGGTTGTACCAGCTCAACCCGCAGTGCCAAGTTTCATTCACTGCCAGACGATTCTCTTACTCTCTTTACTTCAGTGGTAAGATACAATAAGACATAATGACAAAACCCTCAGATATAGAATTCTGCAGTGTACTACTAAACATAAGGAAAAAGCAGAGGACTTTTGTTCTAAAAACGTCTGCGAGGGAATGTCTATAAGAAGAGAAATGTGTTACAAGTTGAAAACATAATGTTAAGGTTATACTGTATATCTATTGTTGAGTATATTTATATAGTCTTCATGTCTGCAGGAATGTATCAAGTGAACAATAAATATGGTACAAAAAGAGCTGTCAGGAGAATCGCCAGTGGAATCCAGCAAACAAACAGGTATTAATCCATTCATAAAAGAGGAAATTTCTATAGAAGCTCATTTCCACTACAGAATAAATATATAAAAGTGAATGACCTTTAATCTCACAGTTGACTTATATATATATATATATATATATCACAATTCTTACATTTTTCTCAGTATTATGCATGTGCGTGCAGTCAGGTGTCTAAAAATTCAGAAAAAAAAAAAAATCCAGATTGTGAAATGTAAACTCTCAATTCAGAATTGCCAGAACAAACGTCAGAATGTGAGATAAAAGGTCAAGTTGCAATAACATTTTTTTTATTCTCTGGCAGAAAATAAACAAAAAGTTTCCATACATGTCATTGTATGGAAAGTTCGAAAATATTTTTAGAAAATTGATTCTGTAAAAAAAAATAAAAAAAAATAAAATAATAATAATCAATTTATAATTATATATAATTATACAATTATAATAATTAAATTATATTAAATTATAATAATTAAAATTATATAATTATAATAATAATAGTAAAATAAAAATTAAACATTGGTTTTATCATTGATGTTGTGTGTGCATTACAATAAAAAATTTTTTTATGTTTCTTCTTCTTATCGCAGTACATTGTCACAAGCTTGTTGGCAGTTCATGGACATGGATGGCCAATGGAATGATTATATGAAAGTAAATAAAAAACTTTTTTTTAAATATACATTTATTATTATTTTAAGTGATGGTTGCAGAAGTTGTTAGGTGGTCTTTTGAGTGTTTATTAGGTGGTAGCTTGCTAGTGAATTAATTATATAACTGTATCCAGGTGATGAATTCAGAAAAATAAACAGCTGTTTACAAAAAAACATAAAAAAATCATGTGGCAGGCCATCATGCTGCCTGCTTTCTGAGACATGTTGACCTGTATTCTTGCACAACAACACCAAGACAGTCACGCCTTTTGCCTTCTGTGTCATAACCATGCACTTTGTCTTTGTGTAGGGTGGTTCTCGGGGATATTGCAGTGTGTCAAGTCAAGATATTGAAGTGCAGTACCAGCAGGACTCCACTGGGACAATGCGTTTCAGAGCGGGCAGATTCAGCTATGAGCTAGACTTCTCAGGTGTGTGAATGCACAGACTAACAGAAATGCATGTTGTTTAGTACAAAAGTACATGAAGTCTCTTGTGTTTTGTTGCAGACATGACCCAGACCAACCTGTCTACTAACACCAAGAGATCTGTACGCCGCCTTCAGCAATAAGACCTCACCTGCCTCATCTTTACTTGTAGCTTTACATGAATAATCTCAGGACGCCGGTGCATGCAATGTCTGCTGGCCATTCTCAGAAAATGCGATACGAAATAGCAAAATGATGTTCACTTTGTCCATGCTAACTTATGTGCCTATATTGTTTTATTAATTGCCATAAAATAATGGGTTTCATGGTGATTATGTACTTGAAACAATTTCTATTTTTCAATACATTTACTATGATTTGAAGATTGCATTTGCTGTGCAGTAGGCTATGTCTTGTGACAGCTTTTAACATTCATGTCTGTACAATGTTTTTTTTTTTTTTAAACTGCCAATTAATTTTATGGGAGTAATTATATATTATTAAATATATATAAAAGATAGGGGGAAAAAAACATGTTTACAATATTTATGCCAAGTCGTAATAATCCACACAGGGCTCCAATACTGACTGACCAATTCATTTTGAGTTTTTCATGACTTGCATGTTGATTATGATCTAGAATATCAAGACATTTTGTGCCTGTATTTTTGTTTACTCAACAATTTAACAGAATTTGTTCAAATTATTTCCTTCATATACAAATGAAGATGACTCTCATAAAGAACATGTCCAGGTCACTTTTAATGAATTGCAACATTATTTTCATGCCAATGAAGCACACCCTGCATTAAAACCTTTGCAAAAAATAAAACTGTGGATTATAAATGTTTTTTTTTATCATTTTATTGAAATGTTCTTAACTGTCATGGAAACACTGAGCGTGTTTGCACATGCACGTTCTTAAACCGATTATGCTTAATAAGCCGAAAACGCACGTGGTCATGTAAACGCGGTAACCCGTTTTCTTTTATCAGAGTAAGGTCATAAACAGCGTAAGCATAAACCGGTCGACACAGGTAGTTTTTTGCCTCTTACCCTGATTTTGCGCGGCATGTAAACGCAATAACCCGCTTTCTGTCGGCTTATTGAAGAGCGCATGTGTGATAGGCTACATGACAGGAACAGTTAGTTAGTGCAGATTTAAGCACATCTAGACAGAGCAAATGTTTTGCAGGAAAGAAAGAAGGAAATATATCACAAAAGCAGACTTTTTCATGACTCAGAAAATGATAAAAATGTGTTCTCATCGCGTGCAGCAGAACTGGTTCAGTCACAACGCTGCGTTTATAACTGCATGAGAGGATAATAGCCTATATCAGTGGTTCCCAACCCTGGTCCTGGAGGCACCCCAACACTGCACATTTAGCATGTGTCCTTTCTCTGACGCACCAATTTCAGGTCTTGGAGTCTCTACTAATGAGCTGATGACCTGAATCAGGTGTGTTTGAATGCAAAACGTAAACGTGCAGTTGGGGTGCCTCCAGGACCAGGGTTGGGAACCACTGGATATGAGCTGTAAGTTTCCCGCTGGCATGTTGCAAGCTTAATTTAACATCACAACTGACAAATGTATGGAATACTCGGAGTCAGATACGCAAATTATTATATTTTGACGTCACTACAGGGAAATAATCTGATTTATTAATGAAGTCATGTAAATGCAGCTTACTTGCGTTGACAGGTTACTGATGTGCATGTAAACGGGGAAAACTGGTTATTTTAAGAAGCTGATATTTGTGAGTTATCAGCTTACCGGTGTGCATGTAAACGGTGTGCTCAATGTTAATTTTAAAAGTCGTCAAATAGGTTCATTTTCTTATACAAAAATATGACGTGAAACATGACCTGCACTTTTCTAGACAAACTTCATGAGATCCACTAATGAATATTTGCTGTCTCAGTCTGATGAGTTGTTTAAATTCAGTTACCACTCAGTAAAGACTAGCTAACTGAGGACCAACTGTTGCTGGTTTCTACTCATATATATTTCAGAAAATAAGGAAAAACAGTGATTTATATTCTTTAATCTTATAACTATCTGTAAAGCCATATGCTTAAATAAAAATAATGCGTGCTTCAATAAAAATAAAAAAAGACTGAAGTGAAAAGGTATTTCCCTTTAAATAATCAATTTATTTGATTCCAAAATCACCGTCTTTCCAACCATCCAGTTCACTTTTTTTTTTTTAAATGAAAACAATCCAGATGTTTTATCTACATTAATTTAGACTATCTGAAAACTGCATGTAGTGAAACACTCATACAGAAAGTTCTTTTCACAATCTCCATCACAGAGCTGTTATTGCACAACTCTCAACATAAGGCCTCTCATTCATAAGATCAGGAAAAGCATTCCCTTTGAATAAAACCTGTCTGGATATTAAAGATTCTCCTCAGGAAAGTGATTCACTTGCAACAGAGTTAAAAAAAAGAAGTGGCAGTTCACCTCTATATACAGTTCACTTAATTTTTTTTCTCCCAGAAATAATACACATTTTGGTGATTTGCTGTGTTGCAGCAGTCTGTTTGGTCATGATATGGAATAACATGATAAGGAATTTAGTTGGTCACTTCCTACAACAGGAAACTGCCCATAAAATAATATCAGACAAAACAAACAAAAAAACTGGACCAAATGTAACGCCATGGCATGATCCGTAACTTCCCCAAGAAACACAAAATCACATGATAATACAGGTTTAACAAACGGCAGAGAACCAAAAGGGAAACAAACACATCAGGCCTCATTCATGAAACACACACTTCTTTTAAAACTTGGTCGTATACAAGATGCTGCACTCAATTTAACGCTACAATTTACCATATATAGCTGCAACTTTTCAAAATAACTCTAGGAAACGCATATTTCATCCCCAAGTCTAAATGCGCGAATTGTATATTTTGCATATAGAAGCCTATTTTTAACTTTATACATTGACATTTTTGACAATTAAGCTAAGTTTCCCACCGATTATGAAACATAAAAAAAAAAAATCTCATTACCATAAAGGGAAAAAATGTTCTCATTTTCATAATGTGTACATTTTTTATCATTCGCATTACCATAATGTGAAAAAATAACTCGTTCTCATTACCGTAACAGGAAAAAATATTATTTCAACAATGAAAATTGTAAAGTACATACAAAGATGTAGTTAAGTATTGTGCTAAATGTAATAATATGTTGTAGGGCTGCACGATTATGACAAAAATCATAATTGTCGATTATTCCCTTGAAATTGTAATTGCGATTATTAATTACGATTATCACAATTTACATTGAATGATGTTTATACCACTGTTTGGTGCAACTGCATGCCATATTTTTATATGAAACACTCTAACTGAAAAACTTTGTGCTTTTCGATAGTATTAAGCCTCAAATGTCAACTATACATCGGATTGGTTTCTTCTTTAAATGATAAAAAA